TGGCAGCACCTACAGGATTTTGTTTGTGAAGCAGTGGCTGTACTGGAAACCCTGCCAGGCTCCTGCCTCAGCTTCTCCAAGTGGTCACCACCAAATGGGTTCTCAGGGTGGCTTTGATCCAGTGGCCCAGCATGCTTGGCCTTTCATTCCAACTGAGAAACTGACTGGACAGATAAAGCTGAGCCTGGGGTTATTGGAGTAAAGGAAAAAGAAGAGGCAGGGATCGGATCCCTGGACAGCCAAGCAGCACCAGGGCATCATCCCCATGGCTAGACAGCCTGGCTCTACATGGAGATGGTGGTTATAGGTGTGGATCGCTGGCTTTCCCAGAGGCAGCTGGGCTTGAATGTACCTGGGCAGTCTCCTCCCTGGCAGATATGTGTAGCAGGCAGTGGGAAGCCAGCAGACTCTTGGAAAGTAGGAGTGCAGCGTGGTGATGAGCCCTGCTTCTTCTGGTGGCCTTAGGTGCCTCATCTCTACCAGCGAGGGGACTGTTAGAGGAACCACAGAGTTTTAAAAGAAACATTTTAAAAACCAAGCAAACAAATCAGCACTAATGAACACACCCTCCCACCCCATCACTCTTCCACCCTAGCACCCTCCCAGCCCTCCACTCCCCATGTCAACTGCCTAGATAGCATCTTGCTGATCTTGCTAACTACTGAAGTTCCTGACTGAGAGATTTTTCTGGTAGAACAGCATGTTTTCATCTATGAACAAATCTCTGGTTTTGTGTTTACATTGTAGGCATTTTAAACTTGTTTTATTAATTTATTTAATTGTGTATGTGGTGGGTGAGTGTCATGGCACACATGTAGTGCCCATAAAAAGAAAAAAAAAACTTGCAGGAATTGGTTCTCTTCTTCCATGTGCAACTTGGGGATCAAACTCAGGTCAAGTCAGGCTTTGCAACAAGTCCCTTTATCTCCGGAGTCACCTTAGGCAGTCCACCACTGCTGGAATTTAATGCCACGGGACAAGCAACAGTAACCTCTGCTGGAAATAGCTTTCCCTCTAGCTGCTCCAAAGGGAACAATGTTTTAATGCCCTTGGTTGTTTGCTGTTCTCCTTCCTCCCTGTCCCAGGATTAGGGTCTAGCCTGTGACAATGGAGTCTTGGAGGATACTCAATGAGAGTCAGCTCTCAACAAAAATAAACAACACAGGATAACTCACCAATATAATCTGTATTATACACTACACCATGTGTACATGTTACAATTATATTGGAATGTCCTTTAAAATGCCATGTATTGAGGGCCTTGCCACCATAGTGTGGCACTGTTTTGTTTTGTTTTGGTTTGGTTTGGTTTAGTTTCTCTGTGTAGCTTTGGAGCCTATCCTGGCACTCGCTCTGGAGACCAGGCTGGCCTTGAACTCACAGAGATCCGCTTGCCTCTGCCTCCCGAGTGCTGGGATTAAAGGCGTGCGACACCAACTCCCGGCTTAGTGTGGCACTATTAGGAAGTGGTAGAGGCTTCAGGACGTGGAGTCTTGCAGAAGGATGTTAGAACATTTGGGTGCGTCGGTGAAGGGGGATGAGAATGGTAGGGACTTTGTCTCTTCGTTTCGCCTGCATGAGGTGAACAACACCTCCTGTCATATGTTCACGATGAACAGTGCCACCACCAGCCCCAAAGCAATCGTCAGCCATGCTGAAGCCTCTCGAATCATGATCTAAAATAAACCTCCCCCCTTTGGAGGAGATGACCTCAGGCATCTGTCAGTACACAAACTGAGTAACAGTGCTTTCTTTTAAGATTTATTTTTATTTTTAATCATGTATATGTGTGTGTGTGTGTGTGTGTGTCCCATAGAGTTCGCCCTATGGCTGGCAGATTAACAAACCCTGAGACGCAAGAAGGAAACCCGGTTCAGCACAACTTAGCTGGACTGGTTCAAACTTCTGGAGTCTGACCCCCAAGTGGTTTATTTTTGACATGTTTAAGCACAGCGTAACTTTGGAAAAAAGTTTTCTTGTAACAGTTATCACAATAAAGCTTAAGACGTGAGTGCATTGAGACTCCTTTGCAAAGAACACATCTCTTGTGAAGTGCCTCTTTCATGTGTTCTAGTGACTGGGAAACAGGGCTCAGGATGAGAGTCTAGGGAGGAGGGGTTTGTAAGAAGCGTAGTAGCAGAGCTCTTTTGCAAAGTATATGAAACCTCTTCCATAAGAACGGGTCCTTTGAGAAATGATGCTCATGAGTCTGGGGTGTTGGGGTGAAGCCTGCATCTACAGAATAGAAGAGATTACCGGCTACAAACAACATCCACTCCCAGCCTTCTGGGTGAAACAGGTGTAAACCTCTTCCACTGAAGAGGAGAGCATGCATGTTTAACAATTCTGGTTTCTCTAGTGTTATCTGTGTGCATGGGACCTCATTCATGTCCTTCTACAGTGTATGTGTGTGTGTATGTATAGGAGAGTGTATTGCCTGTGGAGACCAGAGGTGTTCGAGTCTCTGACCTGGAGTCACAGCTAGTTGTGAGCAGCTCCACGATGTGAGGGCTGAGAACTGAACTCAGGTCCTCTGCAAGAGCAGCTGGTGCTCTTATCCCACTCAACATAAATGGTCTGTATATGAAATACAAAGTCCTAGTTTCCTCTTCCCTATCTAGGAGTTGGGCAGCCCAGGGGGAATGACATTCAGGGCTAGCAAGTCCTAAATGACACTGCAACCTGAAATACAGGAAATAAAAGGGTAGGCCAAGTCCACCTTTGAAGTAGAAAGGGCTCTTAGAAGAGACAGACACACAGAGATCACTTTGGAGGTTTCCCTGGACCAAGAGAGGAAGAGGGGCTTGAAGGAAAGGCAGAAATTGCTGAGGTTGTCTTGATACAGCACAGGACACACCAGGTCCAGATAGCATGCTTGGGGTCCAACCTGAATTGCACTGCTCATGTGCAAGCACATGTTTTTTTTTTGTTTTTGTTTTTTTTTTCCCCTCTGGCATCTTTTCTGCATTAATTTCCAGGAGGTTGGAGGAAAGAGCATCAGACTTCAGCATTCATTCTCCGCCTGACTCTGGATGATGCTGTGCATCTCAAGCAAGCCACAGAACTGATTGGAGTCTGTTTCCACACGTCAGGTTGGGATAGGATACATTATAAAACGGGGCCTTGGGAACGGGGTAGCCATGGTCCCCAGTAACTGGCTGATCTGAAGCCAGTCCAGTGCCTCACTACCTGAGTTAGTGATCATCTGTCTTTCTCTGCAGGAACAGTCCCTGTCCCCTCACCCACTGTGACTAATGGCTCCAGGGTCACATAATTTCCACTGTACTTACAGGCACAGCAAGAGTCCATAGCTTCTTTTGTTTTGAATTCCAGAAGGTCTTCTCTGTGATGTATGGAGGAACGAGTATAATAAAAAGTATTCCTGCTAATTTTTTTGAGGGGATGTGCTAGATAGGGATTGAACCCAGAACCTTGCTCAGGCTAGGCAAGTGTTCCTTCCTGCAGAATTCTGCAGTTGTTTTGATTCAACAGTGTTGGCACCTGGCTTTGATCTGCCTTCTGTGATGGCTACCCTTTGTGTCTGTTGAAAGTAAAATTTTTTTGGAGGGGGGGTGAGACAGGGTTTCTCTGTGGCTTTGGAGGCTGTCCTGGAACTAGCTCTGGTCTCGAATTTATAGAGATCCACCTGCCTTTGCCTCCCAAGTGCTGGGATTAAAGGCGTGTGCCACCACTACCCAGCTGGATAAATCTTATCTGAAAGTTTCTTTCCTAAAGGTTCAAAGCCTAAGCAAAACCTGGTCCCAGGAGGACTTGGCAAACTGAGATGTCCTGGGACTTTTGGAATCTGCATTGGCATTGTCTCTTTGAGGAGCTTAGATAAGAGGTTTTGGTATAGGAAATTAATTTGCTATTTTGTGACTTGTATAACGATAAAAATGCCCTTTACTAAGCGACAGTGAGTCAGTTCCCATTGACTAGTGCTGGAAAGGTTAAATCATCCTTAGAATGCATAATGTCTTCTTTCTTCAGGCGGCTTGAACCCACACCCCAACACAGCGCTACCATTAAGCGCTACCTAGGATGCTGTGCGCATCCTAGGAGATTGTCTGGAGACTTCATCATACACTTTTGTTTTGTTTTGTTTTGTTTTGTTTTGTTTAAAGACGGGGTATTCCAGGCTGGCCTCAAACTTTCAGTATTCCCATCTCAATTTCTTGGGTGCTGGGATTACAAGTATGAGACATGCTGCACCACCACTGACAACACGGAATTTCTTCCTGTCTGAAATGCTCCAGAGGGCTGTCTCTCCTGTCTTTGGCTTGCAGTCATGTCTTCTCTCAGTCCTCACAGTGTCCTCTGTGTATCTGTGTCCTGATCTCTTCTTACAAAGATACCTGTCACCCTGGCCTCAGATCATCCCAGCAACTTTAATTACCTCAACTACCTGTCCTTAAAGATACAGACACAGTCATATTCTAAAGTGATGGGAGTCAGGTCTTTACCATGTGAATGTTGACTTCAGCCCCCGAACGATCCCAAAGGCAGGGGAATAATACTGTGAGTGTTGAGTATGTCCTGGGCACGACATCTCAAGTGACTTTTTCATGGCAGCCCCAGCTGCTCAGTGACATCTAACCAGGTATGAAGGAAACATTCTATGCAGATAATCTGTGGGGGTCACCTGGGGAAGCCTGCAGCTGAGCAGTAGGAGTGCTGGGGCTGGCTAGAGAGTGGGGCTCATAAGAAGTCCCAAGATTCTTTCTGCTACTCTACTAAAGTTCTAGAAGTTTGCAAATGTGTCTTAGCATTCCTAAAGCACCAGGTCAACCTCAGACCCAGCAGGATCCTTCTATGACTGTCTATCAGCCTGTCCATGGGGCTCACAAATCAGGGCAGAGTAACTTCATATAATTGAGAGAGCAGACACATCCAAGCACAGGTGCATGCATATTTATGTATTTTATGTTTAATGTGTTGGTGAGTACAGTGATACCCTGCTGACCTGGTGCTGCAGTAATAGCAACTAGACGGTTATAACCACCCACTGGGTGGCACCTGGCCTAGCTCCAGAAAGTTAGCACCTAGCCTAACCCATCCTTTGACAGACTGGATACCTTTTGTCCCCTTATGTGAACTTTGTTTGGGACTTTCCCAAGAAGGCAAAGCTTGGTTCAGGAAATCCAGAAAACTGTGGTACCTGATGAATTGAGAATTTGCACTTGGCATTGTCTTTTTGGAAGCCTCATTCAAGTTGGTAATCAACTGGCTAAAGTGTAAACATAGAGGAAAAAATGTCCTGGGTGTAGAGAATATAAAGTTCCTTGAAGCTGGGATCCCCTGCAGTTGCAATGGCTAAATTCATTCTTAAAGTGTTTCTGAGTTTTCTTTTGATGGACCATGTGAACCCACACCCACGCTGCAACATCTGAGTCAGGTGAGTTTAGAAGACCGTGGATGCTGTTCCATGGGAGCCTTATATCTTTTAATTTTAAATTTTATTATTGTTTGCAGGTGCACACTTGCTAGTACGCCTGTGTATGCATATGTGGGTGCCTTCAGCTCAGTGTGCTTTCCATTGTAGGAGAGAGGGCTAACTTTTACACACAAGAGTAGCCAACCTTTTAAACCAAAGTGCAAGGTTTTCGGGACTTTCAATGGGAGTAAACTGGAGTTAATGCAGACTTGTCATCGGCACACCATAGTTGTGGTAGTGTATTTGTGGCCTGTGGAAGCTGGACTCTACCTGGCAGGGCAGTCAGCACTACAACCTTGTTACAAAGGTTCAGGCGAAGACCTACTTAACGCAGGAGGGACCTGCTGATCAAACAGCTTAAACGGGTATGGGTCCGCTGTAAAGCCGGACTAGCTCGCTGGACTTCAAAGTCAACTCCGCACGAAGTGGACAGGGGATCAAATCTACAAGGCTACAACCACTTTCTCAGACTGGGTGGGTGGCTCTGAAAAGAGCCTTTGGGTTCAAAGTAGTGCAAAGATGAGGAGCCTATGGCGTCTAAGAACGCTCTCCACGAATGCGACGAGCCAGCTGGATGTCTTTCGGCATGATGGTCACCCGCTTGGCGTGGATGGCACACAGGTTGGTGTCTTCGAATAGCCCCACGAGGTAGGACTCGCAGGCCTCCTGCAGCGCCATCACGGCCGAACTCTGGAAGCGCAGGTCAGTCTTGAAATCCTGGGCGATCTCACGCACTAGGCGCTGGAACGGCAGCTTGCGGATCAGCAGCTCGGTGGACTTCTGGTAGCGGCGGATCTCACGAAGCGCCACGGTTCCTGGGTGGTAGCGATGCGGCTTCTTCAACCCGCCAGTAGCCGGTGCACTCTTGCGGGCCACCTTCGTGGCCAGCTGCTTCCGTGGAGCCTTGCCTCCTGTCGACTTGCGTGCTGTTTGCTTGGTGCGTGCCATCGTCCCGAAGTTCTTTTCTTCTCTGCTTCTCCTCGAGTGTGCAAGGTGCCCTGTGGGCTCGGCTTTTATAGAGCCCACTGCATTCCTATTGGTTGCGCACCTGGTGGCGTGTTTGAGTACTCCACTCTGATTGGTCCATTGGGCGTTCCTCTTTACATCCTGCCCCTTATATGCTCTCCGGG